CACATCTATGCATGTCGCAATCGTAAGCCTTCACATTTCCACCGTTGGTTAGTTAACTTCGGGATTTGGGAACTACTTGCTACTCCCTATCGACATTATCGTTGGTAGCAACTTGGATAAGTTGGAGCATGTGTACATTAAGCTTAGGTCCCCATTCTTGAATACTAGCGGGTGCGCTAAATGAGGCACTAACCTCATCAAGAGTTAAGTTGGTAGGAAAAAGCGAGCTAGAGGAAAGAGGGTTACCGATTCTCACTGTACTTGGAAACCAATCCATTTCCGGATAACGACAGCATCTGAATGGTTGGTAGATTTTTATGCTTTCTTTGACAGCATTCAGAAATCTGGTAACCAATCAGTAGGGTTCCAAACTCAATGAGGTAACATTTGGTAGCCTAGTTGGAGTAAGGTGGTTAAAGCTTTCGAGGACACTAAGCTAGTGCACGGATCAGGGACCTTCTATCTGAAGGATTGTAAATCGCTACTACAAGCAGGGGGCTGTTTTTTTGTCTTGCATATTTGTAAATGGTCTGCGCGTTGTGGTTACCTTAAGAAAATCCTGATTGGTATCCTTCAGAACCCTCGTAATGTCTTAGTGTTGCGTAATTGGGGTATGAGATCCTGCTTTCGCATCTACGGAGTAATTAAGGATTTCTCTTGGAAGTCAACCCGAAAATATTTGCGTCGGCTCCTTTCACGTTGCTTTCGTGAACAAGACTCCACTGGTGCCCCCCGATGTTTCTCCCCCCAATAACCGACCCTGCTGCAAGATAGGTATGGAAGAGTAAATTGGATATGGGACGCTGGACCCGGTTTTCAACACAATGGCGTCACCTTCAAGATGTATTGTTTTGTAAAGATGTATTTAAGGGACGCTGGACCCGGTTTCCAGCAGGTGTTGCTCCCCACCAATAGACGGAGCGGCCCTCCACGCAAAGCCTCAATCCCGGTGGTTCTTTTACCACCACCAGGATAGAGGCCTTGCATAAGGGCCTTCAAAAAAAAAAAAAAAAAAAAAAAAAAAAACGTTGCTTTCGTGAACGATTTGGACTTAGTCTAAGTGTTAATCTGATTTTTCGTACTCGTTTTGATGATCGTATTATCATTTATGAAGTTCGAAAAGGAGTAAATGATGCTATTATGCAGCAAAATTTGTCGATGTGTTTCTTACACCGGGCACGGAGGAAAGTTCAGATAGTGGGGACAAAAAACCCAACTATTGCCGATTTATTGCACAATATGCGTAGTCTTTCGACACGCATGTGCTGACTTGCACTTGCACAGGTCTTGACCTCCCACGTTCGATCAATCATGTTATGTTTCGGCTTAGCGAGATCGAAGGGATTCATCCCCTGCTGAGCAAGGCTAATAACGTGCCATGTGCACGTATTGACAACCGCTTACCCTCCTTTCGTTAGGAATTGCGTTATGGTTTTGCCAATTCGAGTAATTGCGTCGATGCTCCACTGAACTTTAATGATGATACTCTATCTAGATGTTTTTCTACAACCACTGAAAATAGACGATGTTTGTTCATGCATGAAGTCCAGGAGATTAAGCAACGGTTTGAGGGCCTGGTTTTCACCGTCGTGGATCGTAACCTTGGCGAAACTGTGGTTATGTGCCCTTTGACTTACTACAGGGCTATGCTGGATACGTATGTGCTGAATCCAGGGTATCGTATTGTCGATTGTCCCGAGAGCTTCTTGCTCCGGGAACTTTGTGAAGATGTCGCTTCCGCAGGCTTGAAATCATTCTCAAGATGGGATAGCGTTGGAATGTTTGGTTCAACTTACATTATGCCTAAACACATGGATCTATGTCAATATCGTCCGATTTGTCCCTCATTTAAGGAACCCATGATTCGTATGGTACGAGTGGTTTCTAAGGCACTGAACCACATGTTGAATTCGATCTCAAAGCATTGGCACTTCAACTTGTCCGCAATTTCTGATCTGACTACCAAGGAAATTGCTCCAACTAGGAGCCAACCGTGTTATCAAATCCTACTCTTTCGATGTCAAAGACATGTTCACAAAACTTCACCATGTCGACATCCGCGGCGTGGTAGATCGACTCATTCAGTATCACACAGACAAAGGACACACATTTATGTGTGTCAATACACGAGGCAATGGGTCCAGCTTCAGGCTGACCACGGGAGGGGACCATTGGAGAAAACTCTCTCTCAATGATATTCGCTCCTTTGTTTTTCTTGAACTGAACCACACGTACTTCTACGCTGCGGGAGTTTTGATGAAACAGGATGTGGGTATACCCATGGGGAAAAGCACTATCCCTCCCCGTGCGTGTATCCTATGTGCCTTTTTGGAACACCTTTACTTGCAGAATCGGTAAGGCTGCTCGCTGTAATTTTTGCCACACGGTTGATGGACGATGTAATGTTGGTAACTTCTTCTCACGCCGGTGATGATCGAGCACTATTGCAAGCTTTCCAGACATGCTCCCCCAGTAATCTGCTGCTTAAGCGCGCTGATGCTGGAACTGGCGTTCTGGACTTCCTTGGTTATCAAATTCGTGTTTTGCAGAGCCTTCCCTACATCGGCACCATTCAGACATCTCGGCACGATGATCGCCTAAGGACTTCTGATCGTCTGGAAATATTGAACGGTCAATCCTATTTTTCTTGGGGTTATAAACGGCAAAAGAGCGCCATCATCGGCGGGTACCTCCATCGGATCGATCAGAATACCTCTATCCAACTGGAGATCCCGAACAGAGTGCGAGTGTTACGACGCGAGCTATCCCTGAAGAATTTCCCCGATCTATTTTTCAAGCAAGTTCTCAAACGTTTCACTTTTCGACGTGACGATATATAGAAGCAAACTGATAATCTGCTATATTAACCAGGATGACTCATCTCAAGGATTCGTGTAATGAGTAAGGACTACCGACAGCCTCGGATTTTTTACTCATTCTTTTTTTCACTCATTCTTTGACGTTTTTGCAGTTTTGGTATTTTTCGATTGTATTTGTCTGCAATTTGTGGACAGGGTTGTTTCATTAGTTGGTAGCTTTGGACAGGGTTGCTTTGTTAGTCGTTAGCTTGGGCCTTTCTAGGGCTTGTTTTTTTTCTGTAGTTTTTCCTGTATTTTTTGGCTGCTGTGGGTTTTAAGAGCCCGCTTTTCTGACGGGCACCGGGTACGTTCCCGAGTGCTAACGAGTCCTGCGAGCGAGCCTTTGAATTTGGGCTTCGTACCTCAGCTACCTATTTTCGGTCCGCGGTTCCGACTTCTGGAACTTGGGACCAGTGTGTCTATAAGATGTGACTGTACCCCACGAGTAGTATAAGACTTAGTAGATTGTTGACGATTGTTTCAACCTCCTGGGTTGGCCAAAGGACTACCTTCTTAACCCGGAAAAAAACGTACGTACGTACGTTCTATTCGAACTACCTTCGAAAATCAGACTTTTACAAATCGCTTTTTTTTCCCGAATAGAACGTACGGGCAAATACAACGTGCAACGTACGTATGTTGTATTCAAATTTTTACAATTTCGCTTTGATTTTAATTATTGAAAAAAATCCGAAAGAAAACAAATGTTGTACAACAATGCAATACAAACAACTTTTGCCTGAGGGTCTTGGCAAAATTCAGAACCAAATTCAAGGTAAAAAAAAAAAAAAACGAGGATAAAATCTTTTTTACGGCAGGGACATTCTGTTCACTGATTTTTTCAAAACTTTGATTTAAAAAAAGGACATTCTGTTCACTGATTTTTTCAGAACTTTGATTTAAAAACTTCATTGAAAAATCCGCAAAAGCAGAATGTTGTACAAAATTGCCACGCAAACAACTTTTGCTTGAGGGTCTTGGCGAAATTCCTAGCCAAATTCAAGATTAAAAAAAAACAATAGCGGCTCAAGCCTCCAACGAGGGAACATGCGGGAGCTGCACCCACCAGCAGGTGCGATACCTGCTACAGCAGGTGGGCGATACCGGCTAGGGGTCAGCCGGTAGCATCAGGACCGAGCTTCTTCGATGGGCCAGTCACTGTGCCTCCCCTCCGGTCCCCTCCCCCTATGAACATCAGCAGTCTCTGCTCAATGCCACTCGGGGGGACCAACGGCATATCTCTAGGTGGCGGGCGCCAAGCTTGCCCATGACGGTACATGAGGCCAATGGGGATTGAACCCAAGACCTCCTGAATGCCACTTGCGTGCCTTACCAACTGAGCTAGGCCGCTGGATCGTGTGCATTTTTCCATATCCCGTCTTCCAATCCAGAGTTACTCCAGTTCAAGCCTCAAACACTTCTTTGTCCCTGCTTCCCGTCAAAGACCTGAATAGAACGCCCAGTCATTATAGACTTATTTGGTTTAACATTCAGTCTAGGTACAGCGATAATGAATAGAACGCCCAGTCATTATATACGTATTTGGTGCAACTTTCAGTCCAGGTACAGCGATAAGGACCGGGCGTTGTAGTCTGGTGAAGACAGTAGGAGGGCTCGCTTTTAGCTCAAGCGACAATTGCTGCTTTTAGTCTTATCTCGTAAAAGACGTAAACGAGGACGAATGAGGATTTAGCGCAAAAAAGAAAAGAAAAGAAGGGGGGTGGGGTGAAAAGAAGGGAGGAAGAATGTCTATGAGACAGTCACAATACAGAGGTTTACAACTTTGAGTAAAAAAAAACAACTCTTTTGCATCAGGTGAAACCCCCATCGCTCGCTCAGTCTTCTCTGCAGAGATCATTCCATACCTTTTATATAACAAAAAGGAACAGTAGAATATGTATCATCCAGAGTACAGTCCTGATTCTTCTGACCAATCGAAAAGAGGCACTTTATGAAGATCTCTCTCTCTCTCTCTCTCTCTCTCTCTCTCTCTCTCTCTCTCTCTCTCTCTCTCTCTCTCTCTCTCTCTCTCTCTCTCTCTCCTTTCTTCTTGAACCTATGTCTACGCTTTCAGGTGAGAAGCAACCGGACTGTTGCCCCCAGCTAAGAGGACTGAAGTTCGTGTCTGCCACTCCGTGCTACAATAGATAGGGCCCTTTGTTCCCAAGACAAAAGGAAAAGAAGGGGGGAGGAGGATTTCTTCTTCTTCTTCTTCTTCTTCTTAAATGTGGGTTACAGCACTGAAGAGAACTACATGAAAAAAAAAACACTAAGAATTTGGAAGAAATCCAGACATACTCTGCATCTGGCATCATAAAATTAAAAAAACAAAGAATTTGGAAGAAATCCAGACATACTCTGCATCTGGCATCATCATGAAAAATCATATCTGCACCTGACATCATTATTGTCGAAAATTCAGATTGTCAAAAATTCAGAGTACCAATTGCAGAAGAACTTCCAACTCGTCATAGCTTTTGTCGTCTCCATAACTTCAACACATCACTCCTTCGTCGTTGCAGACCTGTTGAGGCCCCTACCATCAGGGCGTGCTCACACTAGCTCTACTTTAATTGTATCTGGTCGCATTTCTGGTCCGACGTGAATGCATCTGACCTCAATTATGCTCCATGAATAAGTGAAAATGTCCTATTGTGAGTATGCCTTTGCTCTCAAATTGACCTTCCTTCTCTCTTACCATTTCGAGCGGTGGGTTCGAACCAATTAAACTATCAAGCCCAGAAACTTGTTGCAGAGTCAACAGAGCTAACTCAACTGTGGTACTTCTGTTTGTTTGTTTGTTTTTTCTCTGCAGGCGAGGAACAACTCGCCCACCACTTTCGCCTGTTATCACAGATCCCTGATGTGGTCCCTACTCTTCCTCTCAAACTGACCTCCCTTCTCTGTTGCATTTTGATTCTCTAACCCTCTTTTAGGAAAGAAAAGATTCCGTATTATGATCCTCCAACCCTCTTTTAGGAAAGCCAAAAATGATTCCCCAGCCACCCACTTCTTCCCTCACTGGTTGCCCCTGTATCTACACCGGCACGCTGTCCAACCCTCTTTTAGGAAAGCAAATGATCTCCGCAGCCACCACTTCTTCCCTCACTGGCAGCCCCTAAATTTCCAACGGCGCACCGCCCGCCGCATTGTGACCGTTGTCACCATTCCCGCTTCCCATAACCATCGCCGCCTTCCTTGGCATGTCCACCCCTCTCCCCACGCCGTCGAGAAATTTGTCGCCAGCTCGAGTGAGCACTGTGTGTTCTGATGCTGCTGCTGCCGCTGCTCCAATCTTCTCCATCTTCGCTGATCGAGGACGACAGTGGACCCCCCGGCCATCTGCCCGACGTCTCACCCTTTGGAAACGACCCCTCAGGATTCTTTCTTTCTTCATTAGCACAATCATACCTATCTCCTCCTCCTCCTCCTCCTCCTCCTCCTCCTCCTCCTCCTCCTCTACCTCCTCTTCCTTCTCCTCTTCCTCCTTCTGCATGCCGACAACCATCTGCTTCACTCGTCGATGATGGCGAGCCACCCGGCCGTCTACCTGATACCTTACCCTTTCGAAATGACTCATCAACATTCTCTCTCTCTTCATTAGCATTATTATACCTGTATCCTGGTCCTCCTCCTCCTCCTCCTCCTCCTACCCCCCCCCCTCCTCCTCCTCTTTGTCCTTCCGTATGCCCACCCTTCTGTCGCCCGCCCTCGCTTGAGGAGGTGCCCCTAGGCCTCTGCTGATCACGATGTGGAGGAGGAGGATGAGCAGAGCAGTGAGCTGAAGACTGCTGGCTTTCGCAAGTTGCTGATGTCAAGGACAACTCACTAGCTGACGATTGCGTTGCAGGATTGCGACTGAACCCTGGCGGCGGTGGTCTGTGACGAGGTTGGTGAAACCGAGGAGGAGGGCCAGGGGGGGTGAACCTAGTAGTAGTGCCTCTTCCTCTCCCAAGGGTAGGGGCTGTCCTGTGTTTATCAGTCCCCCCACGACCAAGACCGTCAGGCAGACCATCTTGCTCACGAGGGAGAGGTCCACCGGCAGCCCACCGACTTCGTCTATATGCTTGAACCTGCTGCGGTGCTCGCTGCAATTGCTTGTCTGTGCCATCGAGCCCATCCTCAGTCACAGGACTCCTACCACGAGCATCCCTTGGGTTGGGACCTGAATAGTGTGGGCGTGATTCTCCCTGATGACCGCAGCTTGTACGTTGGGCCCGTTTGTTAGTACGACCACCTGGACCACCTGGACAATGTCCCAGAGTTCCACAGGGCTGTGAGAATCCCGGGGGAGGTAGGTGCATGTACAGCGGATTTCCTGCGCAATCCACCCCACTGCTGCTGGTGGCCCCGATTGAGCACATTTCTTCCCTGCGTTCGCCGGGGTACTCAACCGATCTAGTACAGACCCCCTGTTCACTCCCTCCTCCTCTATTCTCACCCTCTGCTGCCGGTCTTCTGTGCACCCTGCCTTTCCTTGCTGTCAGGTCTGAACAGCCCTGGCTTTGACCCTGTTCAGAGCGTTTCGATTCTGTAGCGACAGCAGATACACTAAGTGTTTCAAAACTTCTCAATTCCGCGGTAACAGCAGATGTACTCGGTCTTTCAGAACTCGGCAATTCTGCAGCAGCAGCAGCAGCAGATGTACCGAGTCTTTCACAGCTCTGCGATTCTGCAGTACCAGAAGATGTACTTAGCACTGGTGGGCCTAGCTCAGTTGGTACACCATTCAATTGTTGAAATACAGATCCAAGTTCGAATCCCGACGAATAACATGAAACAGAAGCGGATGTACTCGGTCTTTCAGAACACGGCAATTCTGCAGTAGCAGCAGCAGATGTACTTAGTCGTTCAGCACGTCTCAATGCTGCAGTAGCAGCAGATGTGTTTAGTCCTTCAGAACTTCTTCCACTCCGACCACCTCCACGTCTGTACCTTCGCCCCCTTTGCATCCCTTGCTTCCCGCCCGGCACCCTTGGCGGTCCATCCCGATCCCGATTGCTGCTTTCAAACTCCCCCCCCTCTGTACAAATCATATCTCTATTGCCACTGCCGCCGCTGCTGCTGCTGCTGGGCATGCTTCTTGAATTACTGACCCGGGGTTGATCTGACACAGGCCGCTCGCTCCTGAATGGGCTTCGAGAACTTCCCTCCTCTGCGCTTGGATGCTCTTCCTGCTGAGGTGCATTGCTCTCCAATTGAGTGGTAGCCTGCCGATTGACCGGTGTCGATGGGGGGGGCATAACTACCACCATCCCTTCAGTTATCGTGTCAGGCTTCCTGACCTCGATGATGCCCCCTCGGCTTTTCTGCGCTTCAAACAACTTCACGAAGCGCTCACGCCTCTCCTGCTCCTCAGGTGTTGCCATGATTAACACCCCTGTCCCTGATGATTGCTCCCCCTCCTCTTCTTCCCTGATTACCTCATCATCCTGCTTAATTAGCCAATCTTGGACATGGGTCACATCGTCGGTCGCGATCGGGGCTCGACAGATTGGGCACTTGACATCTGGCATCATGCCGTCCTTCAGTTGTATTATTTGCTGATTACCCCTTGTACCGCTTGATTGGCTCCCCCATCCCCGCCTCCTTGAATTCTGAGCCTGCTGCTGGAGGGAGGGGTCCTCCTCTGCTCTCTGCTGCTTTTGCTGCCATCTCCACCACCTCCCAAAGCACTCGCTATGGAAGCAATGGAAACAAGATATCAATTTCATAAACTCCTTCTCATCACCATCTCCATCTCCTCCTCCTCCTCCCCCTCCCCCTCCTCCCCCCCCCAAAGGACTCTCTCCCCTTCGTCCTCCCGCCAGAGGCATCATACAAAAAGGACAGTCACCTTCTGGAAAATTCATGGACGTCAACACATCCTTGGCGGCTTCACAGAGAGCCACAAGCATGGGTCCCGGAGGGGCGGTTCTTGCCCGGCTGCGTAGCTCACTCAGCAGAGAGGCGTGTCTTCTGTCATCCAGGCCCTTCGTTTCACAGAGCTCCAGCTCTGGCAGCACTAGAGGGTAATCTGGTGGAGTACTAATTACCAGCGTTGCCTTGACATACTCCTGGGCCTGATCCTCTCCCGTGTGAGGGCTTAAAGCCACGTGGACAACTAGAGGCCATCTATTTTTAACAACGCACTCGTCCAAGTAGATAGCTTCGAGCGCTTCGAGCTCTGCAGCAATTTCTTCACCCCCCCCCATATTCGTCTTTCCTTTTGAATCACGGAGAACCGTCTTTCACCTCCTCAATTTCACAGAGCTAGGCAAGCATTTGCATACTGCTGGCTCTTCCGCAACCGGGAGCTCAACTCCCCGACTACCCATCAGCCAACATCCCTCCTCGTAGGCTGCTCCTGGTAAGATGAGATTGACACTAAACTCCTCTCTCTCTCTCTCTCTCTCTCTCTCTCTCTCTCTCTCTCTCTCTCTCTCTCTCTCTCTCTCGTATACCCCTCGTATAGTCCTCTCCTCCTCCTCCTCCTAGGCTACTCGTCTCCGTGTCTTCATCTTGTCATCCTACTCCTAGTCTGCTGCTGCTCCTTTCATCCTTTCCTCCTCCTACTCCGGTCCTCCTCTCCTTCTCCTGTTCTGCCTCCTCCTCTTGTCCTACCCTACTCCTCTTCCTCCTCCTCCTCTTCCACCTCTTCCTCCACCTCCTCCTAGGCTGCTGGTCACCTCCTTGCCAAGGCACTTCTCTACGCCTGCTCCTCTTTGTCGTCGGTGGGGCCGTGGGGCAGCGGCCAGCAGTTGATGGCCGTTCGGCACGTTTCGGCGTTCAGCCCGCCGACGATCAGTGCCACGTGGCAGAACAACATTGATTGGCAATCCTGACGATGCTTGCAGATCCGATCTGATGTCGCCAAAACAATATCACATAACCTTGTCTTTTCTTCGTCTGAAGAAGACAAAGTTAAAAACAAAGAAAAAACAAAAACAAAAGGTCTGAGTCCGTTAGGGTTTTGCTCCCACATATTTATGAATTTCCCCCCCACCCTTTTTAACCTTGTTTTCAACCATCTTAAGGAATTTTTTACCGCCCTTTTACATTTTTTTCAAACTTCCAATTCATGAGCGCAGAGCCCACGGCTCAAGCATCAGGCCTAGTGTCAAATCCGCCATACAAGGAAAGAGCCATAGTAGTCACTACCCTGCACCTAAGTCAGAACCTGGCCGCAATCTCCAACTCCATTCATTCAAAGTCCAATCATCGAAGGGCACCTCATCCCTTAACCGTCGAGGATAATTTCCCTTTTTTATCAATCTCTAATTATCTGCAGAGCTACCCAAAAAATAAAATAAAATCAAGACTAATCTCAACACCTCGAAAAAGCAAAATACGTAGCCTCCGCCCTCCAGGCAGTGATAATCACACGAGAAGCATTACCCTCACCCACCATAACCCCCATCGACAGAATCCTCTCTCTCTCTCTCTCTCTCTCTCTCTCTCTCTCCCCACACATCCTCGGTCCTCCTTCCCCCTCCCCCTAATTAATGCTCAAAGCGGTCTCATGCCCAAACCTAAAAGAACGAACTTACCTCGTACTGGCCACTGAAAGGTACACGCATACAACTGTTGATAAACAGATCCAGTCTTCGAACCCTGTCGAAAACAATAAGGTTACACATTACCCCCCGTTCTAAACCAACCAAAAAAGGGAACCGGCTTGGATTCCTCCGTACGGAGGGCCCCTCAGCCAACATCCAGTCCATTTGCGACAGGGCACTCGCCTGCTTTGCAAAGAGAAAACGAAAAAAACAAGACAAAACAAAACAAATTAGAAAGCTGTTCAAATTTTACGACAAAACTTGATCATGCATCGTACACGTGTCGAAACCTTTCATGGGGCGAAACTTCGATGGCGGGAAACCGCAGGTCCCTGACATGGGCGGGTAATTATCCTAACCGCTCGGATGCAGTCAGCGGGAAAACCCATCAGACTTCATCAATCAGCTTGGCACAGAAAGAAGACGATGGCGCCAAATTGCTGTTCGCGCCATCCATCACCCCTCGTATCCAATTTATCCCGGTTTAGGGCCGGCCATCTTAGCTCTGGCGCCAGTTTGACATATGAATGGACGGCTTGATTAGCAGCGAAGTCATTGAGCCTTGCTCCCCCACTCACCATATGGCAAGAGCATCTTATCCACTGCAATCAGACTCGTTCTTATTCACACTTTTCATGCATGTAAACAGCAGCGCAGCAAACTGGCGACATGCGCCCACTCAAAACTCAGAGATATGACATCCAGGTACGAGTTCACTTCCAATTGGCTATGGYGACTCAGCGCCCAAACAACTCGCTGTTCACATACACCGGATCACCTTGGATATCCCACACGCGTCACTCTGAACACTCACACATACACACACACACTTCACACTAACTATAGCTATGGCAGCTATGGCTGCCTCTACCCTATCGCTATACTAAGCTCCCCCTCTCTCGCCCACTGCGTCCTCCGGGCTCACTRCAAACCTCCTTGCACAAGTCGTTGTGGCAGCGCTTYCGCATGGCTCCCGCAGGAATGAATGAAAGGCTGGGCGCTGCCTCTTGATTTATACTTCGGAAACTCGTTGGTCTGCCCTTTGCCATCGGCCCATGGTGCTCACAGTCCCTCGTGGTACTTGCTGGACCGGACTGGGACTGACTAAACCTTACCGCTGACTGACTGTGGACTCACTGCTAACCTACCGTAGTCGTACTGCAATTGCACTGCAGTTTAGTCCTCCACTTGACTAGCCACTTGACCACTTGCCCACTTGCCGACCTTCTAGAAAGACTACAGCTAGACTTCTGGAACTCGCTAAGACTTTTACTCTATAGGCCCACAGATCGAACCCCTACTACCTATGGACCTATGACAGACCTACCAACTGTCTACGAATATACAGGTCACAGGTTCAACTCTCGGGGTCTACACCGGTACTGTACATGGGTAGGGTGAGGTCTATGGATCGAACCCTGGGTACTACATCTGCTACTGCTAAAAGGTGAAAACCGTTTCACTCCCGCCGTCCTAAATTCGAGGTCCTCCGAKAATATTTTAGTCCAAGGTAGGACCTTTACCCTTCTTGTCACGCTCATAGGCTCTGACTATGTCGGGAGCTGTTTCTAGAAGTTCTGTCCTAGTAAACCAGCGGTCGTCCTCCGGTTCCTGATAAGCAAACCGGACCTTATACTGTTTCTCTGGACGACCTCTACCTCCTGTTCTAAAGACATCTTCATCTACAATGCCRTCAATGTCATAGCTTCCATCCATATCCGGGGGGATCATGGATCTTCTTGAAGGGAACTGTTGACTTGTGACACAYGGCAACAGCTTTGAGGCATGAAATACAAGATAAGTGTGGAGGTGAGCTGGAATCTCTATAGTGTAGGACGGTCCATCCTCTCCGCCCTTGACTTCTAGAACCGGCCATGGTCCTTTATATGCAGGCAGCAACTTCTGTGAGATGTGCTCCTCAGGTGCAAATTCTTTAGACTTGACCCAGACTAAGTCGCCTACCTGAAACTGCGATGGGCGACGGTGCTTATTAGCCTGTTCTAYCATTCTATGCTGGGCATTCCTGAGGTTCTCAACAACAGTTGCTATCTCTTTCTCGTGCTGTATCGCGAACTCCCTGGTACYGGGCGGTAGCCTGTGAATCTGATCCCGGTTCAGTCCTTCGAAYGGTCTGCGTGGTCTAAAGRACTTGTGCAGCTCGYTGGGAGTGCGACAGGTGGATAGATGCACGCTGTTATTGTATGCGCTAGCTACCTTAGGCAACATCTCATCCCAGTTGATCTGGTCTGGTCTAATGTACATGCGCAGAACTTGCTGTAGGATCTTGTTCATCTGTTCTGTCTGACCGTTAGTCTCTGGATGACAGCCAGATGACATTAATAACTTTGACCCGTAAAATCACGAGTTGGCTGGTGAAACGACTATCTCTATCGCTAACTATGGATAATGGGACTCCATTCTCACTAACCCAATGATCAAAAAACTTCTGAATAACTAATTCTGTGCGTGCCTCTCCAGGCAAAGGAACAAAAACTGCATACTTACTAAATCGGTCAACTATGACCATGACTTGGCTCTTACCATGTCTGCTCTTGACTAGGGTGTCCATGAAGTCTATGGACACTGAGTCTCCCGGCTGATCAGGAATAGGCAAGGGTCTGAGAAGACCTAGAGGGGCACGCGTAGTAGTCTTATTCCTCTGGCAAACTTTGCAACTGCGGACATACTCTATGCAGTCATTCTTCATTCCTGGCCAGGTGTATGCAGGCATCAGGTTGGCTAAAGTCTTTTGCAACCGAAATGTCCCTCAGTGTCATGGCATTCCCCTAAAATCAAACTGCGGATCTCTTCGCTGTTGGGAACGCACAGGCGGTCGAACACATTAGTCTTCTCAAATAGTAGTCCCTTGGTAGTGCGGTAATCTGGCTCAGTCTCTGGGGCCTCTCTAACTCTCTTTAGGAGGTCACTATAGATGGGGTCCTGCGCATACGCTTGCTTCACTTTCTCCTGCAGGTCTCTCCCTATATCCAGATAGTGTACTAYGGCTCCAAAGTAGTWTGATCTCCTACTCAGAGCGTCCGCAACTACGTTGTACTTGCCCTTTACTGGCTTGAGCTCGAAATCATACTGGTCTATCTCTGCGGCCCACCTAGTCAACTTAGGTGTCATCTTGGCCTGAGTCTTCAACCATCTAAGGGTCTCATGATCAGAATACACTTTGAAGTGCCTCCCAAGCAGGTAATGCTTCCGGTAATCTAGAGCCTGCCTGAGAGCGTAGAGTTCTCTCTCGTACGTCGAGGCAGTGACCTTCTTAGAGGGCATCCTCGCTGACATGAACTCTACTGGTCTATAGCCATTGCCGTCGTCTTGCTGAAACACGGCGCCTATCCCATACTGACTCGCGTCCGTGGTGACGACAAATGGCAAGGACGGATCAGCAACTTTGAGGACAGGATACTCTATTAACGCGCGCTTTAATCTCTTTAGCGCATACGTACAGTCTTGGTCCCATTGCCAGATTGCCTCTTTCTTTAGCAACCTGCGCAAGGCAGCGGCGATGGTAGAGAAGTTCCTCACGAACTTCCTATAGTAGTTGGCTAGGCCTAGGAACGACATCAACTCTGTCAATGTGCGAGGTGTCGGCCAGTCTCTAATCGCCGCTATCTTGCTGTCCTCTGGCTTAATGCCATCTCCGTCCAACACGTGGCCCAAGTATAAGACTTGCGTCTAGGCCCACTCGCACTTCTTCGCGTTGATCTTGAAGTTAGCCTCTCTAAGCTTCTCCAAGACCTGCCTCAGAACACTAAGATGTCATCTAAATAAACTACTACAAACTTGTCTAACCAAGGTCTAAACAGATCGTTCATACAACGCTGAAATGTAGTTGGCGAGCATCACTATAAACTCATAGTGCCCATATCTAGTCCGGAATGCAGTCTTGTACTGGTCATCAGGATGGACCTCTATCTGATGATATCCGGACTTCAGATCTATTTTAGAGAAGTACTTACAACCCTGCACCCGATCTAAAAGATCGTCTATCCTGGGCAGCGGTTCAACATTCTTTACAGTAATCGCATTCAAACCCCTATAGTCTATACACATACAAAGCTCTCCTTCCTTCTTGGGGACAAACAAGACAGGTGCTCCAAAAGGAGACGAACTGGGCCTGATCCAACCCTTCTCAAGGAGCTCGTCTAACTGCTTGCGCAGCTCCTCTAACTCTCTAGTGGACATCCGATAGACTGTTCCCTTAGGAGTTCTACTGCCAGGCTCTATCTCTATCCTGTGCTGGATGGGTCGCGACACTACTCCTGTCGACGACTCAGTCAAGTCTTTGAGCTCCTCCAACAGCTTGGCAATGGTTGGATCTATGGAACTATCCTTTTCCTCAGCCTCAGTTACAGGCCTCACATATACTACGAAGACTTGGTCCTCTAATTGCTCCTTTTTCACTAGTCGCGCGAACGCGGGAGCACTGAGACAGCAATGTGCCAAGGTGTTATCTACACCTGACACATGAAACATGCGGGTAGTCTTAACCTCGCCTGATGGACTAGGGAGCCTACACTCATGCTCTCTCAAGTGGAGTGTGGCCCCTGCTGCCTCTCCCCAATCCATTCCTAACACTACGTCAAAAGGAAGGTCATCTTGTACGAGGAGAGTTAGGGAATGGAGAACTTTCTCCACCTTCCCGTCCTTCTCTAGGCGAAACTACGCCTGCACTCCCTCTTTTTTTTTTTTTAACTCCCTTCTCTACATAGTCCTCAACACGCATTGTGCAGTTGTCTGCGAGGACACTGACTATGGGGTCTGCTAACTTTTGGACTTTTAATCCTAGCCTCAGCTTCTTCAGCGCTCTACGGCTAATATAACTACGGGTGGCCCCTAAGTCTATAAGGGCCCCTACTCTGCTTCTAAACACTTCTACATCTACCAAGATCAGTTGTCCCTTACTCTCCTTCTTCATTTTGGCCCAGGCTGGTATCCTCTCCTTCAACTCTTCTGCCACACTTGTGAGGGACGTGCCGAGAGAGACGCTAACACAAGCAGTCTCTGTACAGCTAGCTAGGCACGGGCCTGCAACCTCTACCATAGGCTTATGTGGTTTGGGAGTTTCCTGTTCGCGAGCGCTCACTTCTCCACATGGCCCCAAAAGTAGGGGCAGTTGCGACCTCTACTGTCGGCTGCCTTTTGACTGCTGGGCAGCTCAACGAGCCTGTCTATACTTAGGACAATATTTAATGACATGGGCCGGGTCACCACAAAATACGCACTGACCCTGGTCCACGCGCTCCTGCCATATGCGCTGATCCAAGCCCAAATTTTCCCAGGGCCTACCCTGTGGCAAGCCTGGGTGCCATCCTCCTTGAGGTGCCCTTCCACCTCTTCGCTGCGGGACTGGTTAGAACCCTGGCGATTTGGCGGGGGGCCTTAACCCCTACCTCCCACTTGGTGGTTCCCTTGTCCGCCAACCCCCTGTGCGCCCGGTCCTCGGCCTCCCATGGCCTGGCCCCTTTGGCCCTGGCCTCCTCCTCTACTTTGCGGCCTCCCTCCAGCCGCAACAGCAGCATAGGACCTCCCCTGTCCCACACTACTGTCCTCCTCTTCAAGGCCCCACTCGATCTGACTGCATGGGACCTCGTCTGTACCACCTTCCTGTAAAGTAAGGATCATGTGATCCTTGGCCCTCACCTGGCCTGAGATGGTACGGCCTTTCCACCTTTTCCCCTTATCCAGGTCCTTATGCCAGAAAGTGGTAACTGGCATGGACTTTGACTCATACAGGACCACTTCCCTACTCAACGCATCATAAGTGATGCCGGCCTGTTGAGACTTGTCAAAGAAATGCCCACGCAGGGCCTCTGGCATGGAACGATAAAATAACTGGACCAATTGGGTCTCAGTGACCCCATGGTCTGGGACGGCTACCAAGTCGTCCATAACGCCCTTGAGTGCTCTCGCACTCCTCGACTCTCGCGAGTGGATCGTCTGTAACTTATCAGAGGCTCTAACGCCTCTCGTTGGGTTAGTGAATCTTTCCCTCAAGACTTTGAAGAATTGAGGAAAGGTGGTGACTTTTGAGTATGCAACCAGGTTGTTTTCACAACCAGCTGCGCGCGCAAGGGACCTGGCAAAACTAGCCGCCTCATCCTTAAGGGCCTGGAAGGCCACGAGGACTTGTTCCTCTATCATGATGTGTTGTAGATACACGTAACTATTGACACTGGCCTCCTAGCTGTCAAAGTTCTCCTCCTTCTTCCCTCCATATGCATCCAGGAATTTAAGCTTAACTGGGTCCTTGCTAGGCCTGGCCTCGCCCTCTACAGCGGCTATCGCTTTGGCGCCCTCGATAGCGCCCTCACAAAACTTCCCCACATTGTCTCTCAGTTGCTTGACTTCGCCCCCAATGTGGGTGACTATATCGCGCGCAAAATCTCTAAATCCCGACCGCATGGCACTCAAGGCTACTTCTTGGCTCCAATTTGCTTGGCGCTCCTCCATCCATGTTGTGCTCAGCACCTCCAGGTACCCCAATACCTTATCCCACTTGGCCTTATCATTTGTCTGGGCCTGCACTTCTTTCCTACAGTCCTGCACCTTCGCCACCTCTGCAGTCAGTTTGTTGACTTCCTCTCTCCTCCTCTTCTTTTCCCTCTTCATCCTCAATTTCCATGCTAACTTCTGCTCCTCCTCCCTTTCTCGCCGTTTCATAGGGTCCTCCATTGCTGCTAGCTCACTAGCTAGCGCATCCCTCTCATCCTGAGTCACATAAGACTCCGCCTCCTCGTCTTCTCCCAACGATAAATTAGCGACCCACTCACTTATCCTYKTCTCCATCTCTGCGTCYGTATCCCTCTTTGTGCCACTACTCCCTTCTTCTCCTTGAATATGTTTTCTTTCTTTTTCTTCTTCTGCTGCTGCTTCTTCTTCAGCAACCTTTCTCCTCTTTTCCTCTTCCTGTTGAACCCTCTTCATCTCCTCCTCCAACCTCTTCATCTTMGCCGCCTGCTCCTYCGYGATAGCCTTTAAYTTYGCCTGCTTCTCGAGCTCTTTCCTCTCCTTGTTTTCTCTCACTAAGGCGGCCATTTTCTCTTGCTGCTCAGGGGTGTATGGGCTAGTACTCTTCCCACTACGCAAGTCCACCATGGTGATAAGTGTACAATCGGATTGGTGGTTCCAAACCTCACCACGTAGACTCTGACCCCTGACTGACAGACCTACTGACTCGATCTAAGACTCACAGAATTCGGACAGGGATCCTGTCAACTATGGTCTCTAGCCTAGACCTACACTATGGCTGTCACTACTAGACTTGTTGCTGATAAGGAGGCATTTAAGGAGATCCCCCAACTCCACAGGAATTATTTAACGTCACAGACAGGACGACGCCATCAGCAGGTCTCTCAAGACTTAGATGGTCTGTTGTGCAGCCCACAGCTCGGATTTCGGTCCTACCGTGCCACACCGAGCAGCCCGCCGGTCAGTACCGGTCCTTGGGAGGGTTCGTGTCCTCCGGGACAGTCAAGTCGTCAGACACAGCTTTTAGCCCTACTCATCCCGTGTGGGTTTGGTCAACAAGACCCTATCCTTCATCCACAGAGTACTATCACCTAGGACGGAAGAGACTCGATGCAGAAAGAATAGATAGACAGACTGGACTCAGCAAGTACCAAGGGGTGTGTGCACATCCATAGGGCGAGGGATAGGTCGAAGGCTTAGCGAGATTTTACCGGCTCCAATTTGGTCAAAGTCTTGGTCAACGCCTTGGTCAACGCCGGTCAACGCTGCGGTCAACACTCCCGATCAACCCTTCGATCAGCTATGGCTGCCGGCTTCTCTTTCCCTCACCAACCTCCTTTGCTTCACCTTCCTCGCCTCCTTTCACCCTGCTGTCTCCTTTTTTTTTTTTTTTTTTTTTTTTTTTTCACCTCTTCTTCTTCCTCCCCTCGGCTATGGCTTCTCTCCCCCTCTGTCCTTCCTCACCCTCCTTCGTTACTCCGTGGTGACGCTTCGCGGCTATGGCCGCTATCTTCTTCTCCGTGGGTCTGCACGGCACACTTCACAGGTGCGTAACAGCCAAACTTGTATCGCTCATCTCTCTCTCTCTCTCTCTCTCTCTCTCTCTCTCTCTCTCTCTCTCTCTCTCTCTCTCTCTCTCTCTC